ACATGCCTACTATATTGTGTTTATTATTCATAACTTTGTAGTTTTTTGTCACAACTCCACCGAGGTTAAAACGTCTAAGTTCTGCTTCTTTTTCTTCTTCTTCTTCATTGTTTTTTTGTGGCCCAGCTGCTAAACTTTCACCATAGAAGTGGGGTCTTTCTTGAAGCTCTAGGGTTGTTTTGGTTGGTTTACTTGCTAGGGTGTCATTTTTGCTTAATCAAGGAATAGACATCAGGCCAAACCTTGCAGCCACATTGGGATTAGCCATGATAGACTCAATATTCCTTGGTGGATCCTGTTTGGCTCAAATCTCAAGTTACTGGCCTCCATATAAACATCGAAGTCTTGTGCATGAAGCAGGCCATCTTCTTATTGGTGAGCACTATTTCTTTGAACATCTGCAACTTACTTTACCATTAGAATTATAAATTGGCAAAATTAGATCTTTAATTTCTATACCCATGAATCATATTGTAATAATAGGTCTACAAATTGATATTCGGTGATCACAAGTTAGGGATCGCTCTTGAGTTTTCAAACATGAGATCTGGACAGTTTGCACACTCTCACTGTTCCTTTTGTTTACAAAAGAAATTCAGAAACATCAATTTTGTCAAGCATCGATTATACACTTGCAACTCAGCTCAGGGGCATATAACCCTTATTCTGACCTATGCCCTATTGATATTCTCTTATATATCTTTGCAACATACCTTATGGGGTGCCCAATGCGTGGGGTAATTTTAGACCCCATTGTCGCGATGCAAATGGGCATTCAAGGGCAGGCACACCAGAACTTGCTTGCGATGTATGGCGTCTATGATCTTTATCTCTAAATGGCTGAGCTAGTCAATATTTTATTGCACAAGCCACTCTTAAAACATGTCGCTACAAAATTCTTTAAGATTGGACATATTCAGGAAGTCAAAGCAAGAGACCAATTTAGATGGATTGGTATTTATTTGGTATTTTGGATGACTTGTCAAGTGGCAAGCCTAAATAATGGAGTTAATGTTGTTATTGATTTAGATTGTTTAGTACATATTATATCATCTATTGCACTATAAATAGGTTAAATTGAATGAAGATCAGTTCATATCTGCTCATGCTTGTATCGTGTATCTGTGCTTCATATGTCATCACTGATGCATGCTCGCCTTGAACTCCCTTTTTATGTATGAGATCGTTATTTTGAAACTTAGATGAAGTACTTGGCATGGATCTAAGTCAAAACTCATAGTAGCCTAATAAACCAAATTATGATGTGTTTGTGTTACTGTCACCTGATTTTTTCTTCATTGATCCTTCAATGGTGACGCTTGTTGTACATTGGAAACCATAACTAATTTTTAATTCCTGTAATAAATCTATTCTCTTATGTCGATCCATGTATCAAAGGATAAAAATTTGGTATTGGTTTAATATATTAACCATTTACTTCTCCAGACCCCGCTATGCATTATGGGATGCCAGGAAGAAGAGAGAAAGAAAAACAGATACTTAACATATTTGATCTTTTCTTTTATATTGCAAAAAACTCTCTTCTGTTATGCATATCCCCAAGCCAATTGCCTTCCACTGATAAACTTCTTCCATAAAGACTAACTGTTCCACCATTTTTCATCCTAAAGGATTTGTTTATAGCCTAACATATTTATTCAATCTAAGAATTTAAAAATGCTAATGCTCCGTAGACCCATTTGCATTCCAGGGATGAAGTAAAGATTTCTTCACAATTAAGACAACCATCAAATTGAAAAGAATAATCGAACCATAATCATTGAAACTCGTCCAGTTTTGATAACAAAATTAATTAGATCTTCAACGGTTAAATTTCATTACAATTTAAAAACTTCAATCTGAATTTGACTTTTATATTTCTCTTCGAATTCAATTCAGTTATTTGAAAGATTTCTTTTTTTTTTTTTACAGTCTATTAAGTCAACAAACTAAATTAATATTTTAAGCCTATGTAGCATTGCACTAATGTAAATCGGTAGCATGCATGTCTTAGTGTTTGTCTTGACTACAATGAAAGGAAACACACAGTGCCATGAACATGTAACCTCACTGAAAAAGAAGCAACAGTTGCAAACAATACTATCATCACTTGGTTTCAACTTCAACCTATCATCCTTAATTTTTTTTATTAAATTGTGATATTCTTGTTTTATAATTTTAAAAGTAGAGGAGTATTTCACTGCCGCCGCAAAGTATAGGGGCTATATTGAGACCCATTGAAATTTGTCACTTAATCACTTAAACCCTTGATATTTCAAATATTACATATAGATCACTTAAGATTAGCATACGTGTAACACGTAAGACTCCTGCCATAAAATGTTCGTTAGCCTATCGATTAATAAATTATATTCATACCTGCCAAAAATTTTAAGTATATATTTAAATCCCACAAGTTTAAAATATTCTACTTAGATAAAAAAATACTCTAATTAGAGATAGAATGTCAAATATTTTAAATTTTTTAACCAAAATTCATATTCTATTATATCATTTATTAAAATAAAATCAAAAATCAAAACCCAATTTTTTCTTAAAAAAATTATAATTAGTATACAATTATACTATCTATTGGAATAAAATTAAAAAAATAAAATAAGGGGTCAAACCGTACTGAACACAATATCTTTTATCTTTAATTTGAGTAATTTGGTCGCTTAATAAATTTTGTTAATTCTATAACCAATAATTGGTCTAAATGTAATATTTTAAATTTGTGAAGTCTAAGGGTTATATACTTATAAAATTTAAGGGGGCTAGATATAATTTATTAACATGTATACTAACGCACATTAATGGCAAGAGTTTAAGTGTTATACACGTACAAACTTTAAGAAATTTATGTATAATATTTTAAATATCAGGGGTTTAAATGATTAAAAGACGAACTTAAAGGAGTTCAGATGTAATTTTGTGACCTTGATGGCAGAACCACTCTTTTCTCAGTTGCACTCGCACATGTAGGTGGAGCTTGGATCTTCCTTTCCCTTTCCTAACACTAGCACTAGCACTCAGCGTAAACAATCCTTTTGAGAAAAAAAAAATTATTTAATTTGAATGTTAACCAGGGTACTTCAAAGCTAAACCTAATTACCAAATGTTTAATTTAATGTAAGGGTGATATTTCAACTAACACTGGTTCGAAGGAAGCAAATCCATTCTAGGGTCGGATCGGGTAACCTAACTGTTGATGACTCGGGTCTAGTCAAGGTCAAACATACCTAGGGGTGCAATTTTTGACACGACACAATAACCCGACATAAACACGATACGAATAAATGGGTTTGGGTTGATTATTTTTTGTCATGAACTCGTTATATGACACGACTCGTCAACACGAAATAATAATGGGACCTGTTCGGGTTCAACCCACTCTACTCCAAATTTACCCAATTAACCCGTGTATTTAATCGGGTTGACACAAACCCGCTTAACCTGTTTTTCAACTCAAATAACTCGACACTATACAAATGCACTTAATTGTTGGATCTCTAACCCTAAATTCACCATCGCCTCCGTCTTCCTTTCGTAGGCCCTCACTGACCACCAACCAGACCAGGGTCTCTCTTTCTCTCTCCTTCTCCCTTTCCCTCTCCCTCTCACACACATATACACATAGATTTGTTTATCTGCACGACTGCATCTCTCTCTCTCTCTTTCACACACACAGAGATCTATACGAATGTGTCTTAAATCCAATGTGACATGACACGATTGCCACTCTACTGGAGAGTTCTATCATTTCAAAACAAAAAGTGAAGATGTTTCCAAATAGCTTGTTGACCACAATTTATGAGGGTCCAGAGCTTCAAGGATATAAGCAAAAAAAGCAAGTGACCATAATTTATGAAGGTCCCCACTGATTTCTCAACACAACTCCCCCCTAACAGACCTAGATTACCTTGGGATGCACCATCTACATTCAGCTTCAGAACACCCTCTAAAAGAGGCAACCAACTAACCCAAAATGCTCTAGTTCTTAATTGATAAGAAACCTGAACATTAATGGCTGCCAGCAACTCTCTTCCTCTAATTAATTCTCCTACCTTTGGTATAAACAAATAAGCCCACCAAGGATGAAGGAGATAACCTCACTTCTTCAAACATATTTTGGGTTGAGGGTATTATAGTCATTTTTTTGCTGTTGTTAGTCAAATAGAATGGTTGTTACTGACAAGAGAGGTCAGTGTTATTTTTCAAACAAAAGAGGGTCGAATTGTTATTTGATCAAACTTCAAGGGAGATGAATGTAATTTACCCTATTTTTTAACAAAACTTATTTCCACCCTAACCTGTAAGCCTCTTGCAATGCTATGCCATTATTGGGTTTGATATCAATTTAGTAAATCATGCACTGCCACAACAAATATATCTCAGGCAGAGACTTGTTTTCCATCTCCTTGGGTTAGATCAATGAAAAGAAACGAAACCTTACCCATCCTCCAACACCATGACATCACTAGGCAAATGCAATGCAGCAAATATGAGAACCAAAATACAAACGAACAGGTCAGGATGTATATAAACATATCATCCATTTACACAACTACATCAAACATTAGATCCCACCGCCACCAGATATGTTCATATTAAACATATTGTCACATGTTTCGTGAACAATCCACCCAAGCTAAAACATGAATTACTTCCACAATATATGCTTTAACAATGAAATAGGAGTCTTAAGTATTAAAGCATGTGAAAAAAAAAAAAAAAGAAAGTATGCAGTCCCGTTCATGATGGTTTTAGTCATTGAACTTCATGCCAACAACACCTAAATGGACTGATGCCAACATCATCAAAGGCCTCTTCTGCTCCACCCCGGAAATTTTATCTGTAGATGAAACTCAAAAGCTGATCAAATCATCTTTTGGTGTTGATTGTTGTTTTTTTGTATCATGCCCCACTTCAGATGTTCCACTTGCTTTCTTATTGAAGATCATCTCGTCAAGATCATCCATCATGTCATCATTACTCCCTCACGGGGCTCCACCACGAGAGCCCATTGGTTTTCTTATCAGGGCCTCTTCTTTGCCTAAACGAGGCGATTCATCAGGCTCAACAGCAATAGATATCATTGCAGGTTCTGGCTCCCGGGGAATCCCTGAGGATTTATTCATTTCTTCGTACTTGGATAGGACTTTCTGAATTTCATCATTCACATTTAAGGCTTCAAAGAGCAAGGCCTCATTATCCCCAGCGGTCACAATGATTCTCTGCACAGTAAATTGGGATTGGTGACACTGTTGTACAAGTGTGGCTGTCAAGTCATCTTGCCAAAACAATTCGGAAAGTGTTTAGAAATGTGGAGGAAACATTGACTTGAATATCACAATCTGACCAGTAGCAATACCACCAGCTAGAAAACTCCAAATTTTGAACAGGGGTAAAAAATTATCAAACTTCTGCCCTAATGCATAGCACGGGCTCCAAAATGACTTAGTACAGATGTACAAAATGAAATACCAATAGTAAGCAATAGCCTATGATCAATTAAGTTAGCCACTAGTCTAGCACTTTCAGGGTTTCAAAAAAACCATGTGTTATACAGAATGGATCACTGAATGAACTTTTTCACAAATGCAACCAACAACTATAGCTCTCCTCGCTGGAAGCACTAAATTCTTTCTCAGGTAAATTCCTAACGAACACATCTGAGAATCCAACTAAAACAATTTCAAAAAAAATGAGTGTGTGTTTTTTTTTTTTTGGCATGGGTGTTTAGCAACATTGGAAAACTAATACACCTAGCATGGGTGTTTAGTGACATTGGAAAACTAATATACATGTAAACAACGATCACAATGGACCCAAAATACATGTCGGTCGTCACACTGCTACATCCATACCTATATGCAACCACCTCTTCCAAGATGAGTGGGTTTTCTTATCATCAATACTCAATAGCATGACGAAGTTTGTTCAGAAAGTGGACCATGTCAAATAGATTCTTTTAATAGCATGGTTACTCCATTTCTACGCAGAAGCCAAGAGGTCAAACTATAGACAGTTTTGCCACGCCTCCATTTTCATCTTTCAAAACCAAAAATATGCAAAATCAAACAATATATTATTAGACGACGAATTTTTGAAGCGGTTGCAGACAAAGAAAAGAGTATTAATCAATTTACATCCATCTCCATCCCCAAATCATTTGCCAATCAACTTTTAGATCTCCTTCATCCACAAGCATGATAGCGGCATTCTTATACGGGTAAATACTATCTTAACAAAAGGAAGTGAAGAACATGGCCGTATTCGGAAACCATAGAAACAATCTTGAAGAATAACTCTTACAGCTCCGCTGACATAAACAAAATCCCAAACCGTAAAGCTTCAAGGAAATATCATACAATAACGACAAAAAATCCTTTTGTTATACAAGATAACGAATTATAAAAATTTCTGTTAAAAACCCATCATTCTCCCAGCTTGGAAGAAATAAATCCTCAGCCATTTTTCCCTTCCCTCAACCTCAGTTTCAATGTTAACATTCTATTTGAATTCATGGCCGCAACCACCGTTGGCTTCACAAAGAAACCTTAAATATAGTCTTTACACTAAACCAATATGCCTCTTTTTTAGGGGTGGCAATAAAGCAAGTTCCACAACCCCAACATACCAATACTAAGAAACATCTAATTGTGAGCGACCATTGTGAAAACACCAAAAAATTCAAAAAATTGGTACTTACAATATTACAAGATATTAGAAGAGCAGCGACTTTTTTTAGCAGATCAAGTTTTCATCAATAGCAAAATGAGGGTGTTGAGATGCTGGACCACTAGAGACAAATCTGTAGACTACCATGGGTTGCTTTAAGCTGAGCAGTCAGTGCACATTTGGGTTATGCCACCAAGTATGGCCTTCGACATTTTGATTTTTCCATGAAAAGGGGCAACCTCTGCTAGTTTCTTAACTTACCCAAATTGTCCACTTTCTCACCAGCTTTCTAGTGCTATCGATAGCGGTAGACATTGCATATCTCCATGTTTGCATTTGCGAAGATACAAAATCATTTGATACATTACTCAAGTAGAAAGTTTCAAACTACGATTTTTCATTTTTCTAAGCTAGTTGGAGACCAAGAAAGCAATATTAATCCTTGAAATATTGGCAGAATGGGTGTTTTTGCCCATTAGAAGACTCCCCCCATGCTTCCATCATCATCAGAGCCTTGTTCCGATTATTAACAACAGTTTGAGGATCATCAATCAGCTTCACCATCACATCAAGCACCCTCTTGGCTGCAACCTCCGAAAATGCTTTCTCACAATTCTTAACAACAGTCTCAAGCAACACCAAAGCCAAGTACTGAACCCTAGGGCTCTTCAACATGATCCGCTTCTTTATCCCACGTATCAAATCAACACTATTGATCTTGTCCTGATTAATCAAGTCACAAAGCTCAAGATTAATCATGTCTAATCATGTCTCTAATCTGTAATCCCTAATCCCAAATCCCTACTCCCTAAGCCTTAATTCTCAACCCCTAACTATAAACCGACAACCCAAAAAAAAATAATAATAATTAATCTAATAGAAAAACAAACAAAACGCATATATATCAAAGAAATGCTATGCAATAATAGGTTGTGTAAAACATGAAAACAATAACGAAAAATGAAAAACAAATAGTGGGATAATGAGAGCATTGAGAATTGAAAATAATAGAAACAATGATCATAACAAAAAACACAAGAAGATTTAAAAATAGTTGTGTGTAAAACACATTTCACATGTAAAAGAAAGTCAATCAAATTTACACAAAATAGATATACTTAATTTTTCGCTCCTAAACTCGGCTTTCAAACTTATCTCGTTCATTCTACTAATATGTGAAATCAAAGTATACATTAAATTAGTTACGCACATAAAAATAAAATTTCAAAATATAACAAAAACAATAAAAGTAAAAAATAGGATAAGAATGATGAGGAGGTGGAACAAAAAAATAATAAACTCAAATCCTTAACCCGTAATGGCCAGCACATCACCCTTCTCTATATTAACTAAAGTATTTAAGGGTAGGTATGTCTCTTAAATTTAGTAGTTTGTCTGATGGATAGTAAGTCTCAGTTCTATCGCTTGGGTTCGAGTTTCACCAGCCGTATAAAGATTTATTTTCACCCCCATTTTTGGTTCTCCTTTCTTTTCTCTCTCTTTTTTTTTTAATTAGTATTGGGATGACCACATCAATTTGCTGCCCCTTATTATTCCATTCGGGACAAAGTTGGAAATTACTAGGGGCCAAGTCCGTTACAAAGCCATAATCATCTGTTTGATCATCTTCAGACAGTGACCTCAAGCATAAATTTAGTAAGCAGAGTTGATGCTTTCTGAAAGAGTGGGATAAATAGACTCCACTGATGTTCTCCAGCAAACCACCCTACATGGGCCACAACAAAGAAAGACTTCTGGTTTGTTTTCTTTTTCTCCCACGGCTTTTCGCAGCGAAGCTCAATCATCCACATTTCCTGATACAACTATATTTAGGGGAGTGTTTCAAAGAGCAGATGGTTCAAATATTTTCACACAGAATAATTAATATACAATAAATTTGAAAGACACGATGAAATCCCACTAAAAATGTGTGATCTCTGCAGTTAGACTCAACAAAATTGGCATCATACAAAATTTTGTAGAGCAACAAGCCCCACTTCTAACGACCACAAAAAAAAAAAAAAAAAATCCAATTTCTAGGATGAGCATTAGATGGCAACGGATAAATAAACTAACAAATACATTGAATCATTGTTAAAGCATCTGAGATGTGTTATGCCTTAGATGCAATGGCTCAACTATTCAAATAAAATCCATTCCTTTGACTTTCTTATTGGCAACATCTCTGGATTTGTAGGATTTCCGTTTTTTCGAAGAACACTTCTCTTTCTGCTTTGCATGATCCTGCTCCTGTTCCTGCTCTACCATTGCAGTTTTAGCTAATTGCTCCTCATCTGCATCCTTGGAATGCTTCACAGACTTGTCTTCTATTTCTCTTTCCTCAATTTCTGGTTCAATAACAGACATTCCTGTAAGGGTATAGTCCAACAGGAATGTGCTTCTTTCCAGCCCATCTATCCTACTGAAATGCCTCTGACAATATGGGATAAGACCTTCAAGGAGTTCTCCAATGCCTCGTATCTAAAACAATGCCAAACAAAACAGGAAAGCCATCATTCACATTTTTCTGATAGGAATCATTCACAAGTTACAGAGGTTGGATGAATTTCCCAAGTTCATATAATTTTCATAGTTAAAGCAGCTGGGGGCAAATATATATCTACTGCTTTTCCGTGCACGATCACATTCTGTTTTCCTTTTTTCATTCTTCATTTTTTTTTGGTTTTAAGTCCAACTCATGTGTCAAGACCCTAACAGCGCAAAGAAAAGAGATGCCTACACTTGTCAACAAGCTGGAATAATCAGATGCGGTAGTCATGCGACAACTAATTACATTTGATCAGGTAATTTATCCCCAAAAGAAAAATATCTAGATCCCCTGCACATAATTTTGAAAGGAGGTCCCAGCAGAAACATATCAAGTCCCTGTTAAATTATCATAGTGCATATACATGCCCCTAGACATCCTGTATAGTTCAAAGTCACCAAGACAAAAGGTAATATAATGTACTTGTGTGTATATCTGTAGTTTGTGACCTGGAGAAGTCAAAGTAAGTACCTCGATAATCTCTTTTGGAGGAAGCATGTTGAAAACCCGAAAAAGCACAAACTGAGCAATATGGCAGAGCTTTGGCTTTGTATTCCATTCTCGAACGTATTCCAAAAGTAGACGATATTCCTCTTTGCCAAGAGCATGAAAAGCTTTCTCAATCTGACCTTCAGCATGTCTCTTCCTGTAGAGGATTTGGGTTCAGAGAAGGTAACTGCATGCCGCACAGACGACCCAAGAGAAGAGAGGAGAGATTTTTACCTGTTAATTTCTCCAAATAACTCCAATAGCTTATGAGGCCTGCGTAGCTCAAAGGCAATTTGGACTGCTTTGGTGTAATCTGCATCTGATACAGCATTTTCTAGCTCTTGACCTTTTAAAACACCTTCCTCCTGCATCACCAACACAGCAAGTCCATCAGTTAAACTAATAATATCAAACTGGAAAGTAAGAAAGGGCAAAATGAGTACCATAGAATCGTATTTTGGAACGGATGGAAGGGGGATATATATATATTTTTTTGATAGGAAACAAAACTTCCATTAAGTACAATATATAGAGTACATTGTAGTGGACAAGGTGTCGACCCCATGCGAAGACAACAGAAAAATATATCGAGAAAATTAAGTCAAAAAAAACTCAAGAAAAATTAATCTAACTACGGGTTGTTGTCAAATCTAGATTGAGGGCATCTGTACATCTTCCCACAATCTTCTTTATCCTCAGATTCTACAACTCCTTTCCTTCCACACCACCCAAAAAATAGCCATAACCACACACTCCCACAAATAAAGTTTCTTTTTTTTTCCAAAGAACCCATAGGATGTCACAAGTAAATCGACACATCCTCTTGGGAAAACCCAAATCAAACTAAACTCCCAAAGGGCTTTTATACCACGTCATCAAGATCACTGAACATTGAAAAAAGAGATGATCCACACTTTCACACAACTTTTGCAGATCACACGCCATTGGGGAGAAAGACAAGAGTTTGGTCTTCTCCTTTGCAAAAAATTGTGTTGAGCTTTCTAGGAGATGTGGTCCATACAAAAATCTACACCTTGATAGGCACTTTAGCCTTTCAAATCATCTTTTGAGATTCAAAAACTAGAGAAGATGGATCATCAATCAATGCATGGAAGTAAAATTTGCAAGAAAAGTCACTAGATGAATCAAAGACCCACACCCTTTTATCCCTCCTCCTAGGAACAAGTACAACTGAATTGAGCACAATCAATGAAGATTGTATTCCCCTTGGGAATCGTGAGCACAATAACAACCGGCAATGGACACTCTGTGAGACCGGGACAACCTAAACAACCTAGGGAAAGACAAAGCAAAAGGAGAATCTCATATTCAAAAATATTCCCCAAAACAAGTTCTCTCACCATCCTCAACTCCCAGCTTAACATACTCCTTGAAACTATTGAAACCCTATGAAATAAACTTCCGAGGACACCGACAAAAGCCTCTAACCACCACATTTAAATGTCACACATCAAGTGTAAGTCCATATTTGCTCTTGATAACAACATGTCACAAAGACGTGGAAACCTCCGCAACCACTTTCCTAACGAATCAACATTTATCTTTACCAAATTCCCCACCCCAAACTCTCCTCTAATACTAGATTTTGACACCACCTCCCACCTAACAAGATGTTCATTCTTTTCATCCCCGCTCCCTTCCCACAAAAAGTCTCATCTTTTTCAATCAAGCATGCTATCTTTCTAGGGATCTTAAACAAAGACAAATAATAAATAAAAATGGTAGCGAACACCACCTATACCAAAATAAGTCTTCCTCCTTCCCATAAACAAACCCTTTTTTCCCCTTTCAATTTCTTTTGCACCCTCTCAACTACGGGGTTCCAAAAGCCCAAGGACAAAGGATTAACCCCCCAATAGTAGCCCGAGGTACTTATGGGGCCAATCCCCACCTCACAACCTACCCTCCCATTCATCATATCTAACTTTTCATTATGACCATTAAATCATATAATCAAACTCTTGGACATATTGACTCTTAACTCCAACATCAACCTGAAAACATCAAATATATTCACTAAATTCTGAAATTGAACCACATCACCAAATAGGAAAAAAGATAGTATCATTTCCAAACTGTATGCGTGACACCCCAACAAGGTCCCTTCCACTTTATAAGATTATACTCCATAGCCCTATCTACTAAATGACTAAGTTCATCCACCACCAAGGTAAACAAAAATGGTGACAATGGATCCCCTTGCCTAAGAATCCTAGTGATATTAGATCTCCCTCTAGCCTTCTCATTTACCCCTCACCAAGAAATTCATTGCCTCTAAGCACCCCTTAATCCAACTCCTCCATTTAATTCCAAAACCCTTTACTTCAAGAATGAAATCCAAAAAGTCTCAATACACATAATCATATGCTTTTTCAAAATCTATCTTTAAAGCCACACCTTGGTGGAAGGGGGAATATCGGGTCCAATAAATGGAGAGCTTACATTCCAAAAATCTATGGGGTGCAAAATTTTGCACAAGCAGGTGGCCATCACTACACATGCCCGTACCCTTATACATGTACAGGTTAGTTTTGCATGCCAAGGCATTTGACTTGAAGAATTATAGACCGAAGTGTAGTTAAAAACTCCATTTAGGCATCCAAACACCAAATCAATGCCTGGCTAAAACTACTGATGCCCAAACTCCCCATTTGCCATGTGCCATGTGCCAATCACATAGCATAATCCTGACAATAAAAAATGAATGTTGACATACTAAGTACAACAATAAATGTAATACAATGGATATTTTACAAAGATTTCTTTCCAAAATATGATTGAAAGAGTCAGTGATAACAACAGAACAGATTTCCTCAGCATAATCGCCGCCAGTTAATATGCAAGGCTTAGCAAAATTCCAAAGCAAAATTACTATTTGTCCCATAAAAGTATCATGGCATTAAACAAATTAAAGATGCCTCACTTCTTTACGAAAAGCTTCATCTTTCTCAGAAGCTGTAGAGTCATGCCATAAATTAATCACTGCATCGGTGCCTCCAGTTGCAAGCATTTCTGTCTTCCTCCCTATAGCTAAGGCCCAAATCTGCAGAACAACAAGATCCATTGAGCAAAACAAGAGAAGGACAACTTTTCATCCAAATAAAAACGATAGCAATCACAACAAATGATAAGACTACAGTATCCAAAAACAGAAAACAATTTTCAAATCATAAGACATTTATTAAAACAAGAAACAGGAAAAAAAAATTCAATAACTAAGTGCTGAAAAGAAAAAAAATAACTAGGCAGTAAAGATATTCCAAGTACTTTGATTATGATGAAAAAATCAAATTAAAAAACAGGAGGAAAGGAATGATGAAAGTAAAGATTTCCCCCCTTTAAACACAAATGACAATGAATAAAAAGTCAGATATGGCAGACAACTCTCCCTCCTATAGAGGGCTCTAGGAGCACAAAAGTGGTAGGCACCATTACTCCCCATTTTCAATGAATGCAAAGATACATAGATATTACTACGAGAGTGCGGCTTTCTATGCAGACAGTGGCGCATCTGTGGAGAACATATACATAATAAGACATGCTGTTGGTCAACCATTAAATTATCAATATGTGGGTATGTGGTAGGTGCATTTACATGAAGACTTGGAAGGACACAGCAGTGTGTAAAAAGACCCAGGAACCAGCCATATGTTAAATACACCAATTTATTATTTGTTGACACTCCAAAAAATTCTCATCTAAACTTGGGAAATTATTTGACTTTGTTCTTCTTGCTGCAACTACGGCCACTATTATAAGTAGTATTTCCACACATCCATCCACGTGATGCTAGCTGCCTTAGATCAAAGTTATCAATAATTCCAAAAACCTAAGTATATCGTATAAAATGGTGCAATCCATATGGGGTTGCAACATCCATGTTGCTTTAGCATCATTGCAAAACAATTTAATTTCTAAATAAGTACAAACAAACATAAAATACATACACAATAATGAAATCTGGATACTTATTAGTATACCAAAAAAAACTGTTTGTCATCAAAATCCAGACATCTACTCTTTTAGGATAAAAAATAGAGATAAGTGAAAAAGGATATACTAGTATACAATCAACTATAAATAAAAATGACATCCTATTTCAGCACCTTGTCCTCATGTTGATCATATGTTGCAATGCATTCATTAGTTTTAACTGTCCACAGCTTCACCAAACCATCACCACCTAATGGGAATCATTGTGGAGGGGTTAAAACTCAGCAAACTAAAGCATCAGAGTAACAACAAAGCCAGACTTGCAGTTGCAGGCAACATTACCACATGAAACAAACTGAGTCCCACGAGTAATGAATGATGCCCTAGTAACACTAGATGTGTGCCCTTCAAATGTCTTTAGACATGAACCATCAGATATAGCCCATATCTTTATTGTCTTATCTCCAGATGCTGTTATAACACATTGATCAACAGGAGAAAACTCTACAGACCAGATCCCCCTTTTGTGTCCTTTAAGTGCCACCAAAAATACTAGATCTGGAAGATGCCATAAGCATGCAGTGCGGTCCTGATGTGTTGAGAGAGGGAGATTAAATTAGAGGAACTTTAAGAAAGATACCAGCTAAGCCTCAAGAAATCATTCCCTATCTATCCTTGGCATATTCTCTTTATTCAATAGAAAGCCCTCAACCTGAAGTAGAAAAATAGAGAGATTTGAAGCAATACTGTGAGTTACTAACCTGGGAACCACTACATACAAGACTGTCATTTGGTGCAACAGCCAAAGAATTTATATCCTTATCATGGGCTGCTACAACTGCTTTTGCTTTCAAATTAGAAGCTTCTTCCGCATCATCAGCAAGACTATCTAAACTCCACACTTTGAGGGTACGGTCACTAAATAGGACATAACATGACAATTAGCACACAAACACAAACTAACCCTATACTTTTCTTCTTCTGGATAGATGGTTCACTAAATAATAGTAAAAGAAAGAACTATGTCTAATTCCATCATCATGAAACACAGTAAAAGTAATACCCAGAATGAGTGGCTGTGGCACGATACAAAAATTACTGAGCTGAATAGTCAACAATGTTCCAATTATCAAGAGACTAAAATAACTTAAAATAAGGAGCTTTCCAAACAATAATGCAGAATCACTGGCAAAACTTCAGATAGGAGAAAAACCAGCCAAAAAAGGTCCCAAAAAATAAAAATCAAACAACAAAAGGAGAGTAACATTTAACAGTTTTCAAGATTAAAACAAAAAGTTTCTCACAATTTTAATAAATTTTCCTTCCAAAGTTAAGATTGTGCACGGACACCCATACATGGGCACACAATGCAATGGCTTGCAAATATGGAACCAGTTTCCCGGCCCTGCTCACAGTATACACGAATAGAGTAGAGAGCAATTTTCGAAGTTTAAAACTAAACCCTCAGTTTTATGAGAGTACTTAATCATTTGAAAAAAAATTATACTATAATAAGTTATTATTCTATAAAGAGGTACAAGCAACATACATATATATTTGTTCCAAGAAGTTAAAAATTCCATTTCCTTATTTATAAGTAAAAAGGCTAGAAAAGAACTTTATATTTTGTTGACAATTTTTCTTATGGTAATGTTTTCGTGAGCAGGTGAAACAAATAACCGTTTGGCTTTATATTGCAATTGATATGTATCGAATCACTCTTCCTCACTTGTGCAGTCATAGTCCTTCAATATAAATGTAAAACCATCAATTCTCTTAGTTTCTCCACAATTCAAAAAGAGGGAGAGATGAATACTATACCCTAAATGAGTGTTGAGGCCGAAAAAAGGCATTTACATAAATACATATCTGTATACATCTATTTGTGCAACAATGAATAGTGTACCTATCAACCTAAATATCTCCTCTATTTTGTTATTGAAAAGAAAGAAGACTGGCTCACACAATTTTGAGGTGCATAAAACTTCGAACTGCGTACACAACACCGCGAAGAAATTAACCATACTGCATATCTTTTATCATCTCCATACAAGAACCCCAAAATCTCAAATGTTTCTGAATGATTTTTTATCAACTCCATAAGAGCACCCTAAAACCTCAAAATAATTAAAAAAAAATCTAAATCCAGCAACAAAGACCAAAATCCATGTGTATCATAGTAAGGGCTTCAATAGAGATTCATGAGTAAAGGCCACCTCAAATGAAGAAATTTCTAGAGTAATCACTTACCTACTACCACTAACAAAGAAGTTCCGCTTGCTCTTTGAAAAAGCAACAGCTCCAATAGCTCCGGTATGACCTATGCCAACCCCAATGCAACTTCTCCTCTCGGAGTCCCATAACCTAACCTATGAAGAGAAAGGAATTAGAGAAGCAAACATGAACCCTATTAAAGCAATATATAGATAAACAGCTAGGCACAACACCAAGAATACACAATGACAACAGCACATAAGCACAATCAATGTCAAATTAAAAAATGAGGAAAAAATTGGTGACAACTCCAATCAAAACATACAACGCAGCTCTGCCTTGAATTTGGAAGAAAACTTACACTATTGTCTTTGCTTCCTGTCGCAATAAGTGTTCTTCCAGATCTTGTTACGCATGTATCAAGGCATAGAACAATCTCGGTATGACCTGCCAATACATAGGAACATGACATGGATGCAAGATCATACACGCGTACCTGCGTATATTTACAAACCAAATCAGGGACTAAAATCTGACATCTGGTATCGCATTCCATCAAGATAGACACACACAATGAAAATAATTTAATATTGAAAATATTTGGGGTTTAGATGTTTATACAACTCAACTCCATAGAGCCTTTATCCCAACTATTAGGGGTTGACTAGGTTTAGATGTCTATAACAAGATGCTAATGTATAGTGATTGTGTAAGGTTGCTCATGCCTTATTTATTGTACCTGAAGCAGGTTCAACACAATCTTCTTTTCTAGATTTCATAGGCTTCCAACATACTGTTGAGGAACATTCATTGGATTTCATGCCAAACACATTCGGACACATGAAAAAAGTGTTCATAATTCTTTCAAAAATTTCAGACCCATTGGAACATGTTGAAAAATGGGAACACATATTGGAACTTGTAAAAGACACAGTGGGCACACATTCAGCACATGCTACATCTTTGTATTGGAAAATTTTGGAAGTCAAACCCATATATTGAATACAATAAACAAAAGATAAATAGAATCAGCTACCACCATTAGATCTTCAAAAAAGTAAAGATTAGCCACAGCCAAGACATCCAACAACCCCTGCTGGATCTCACGGTCTCCAGTGGTTGCTAACAACATACTTATCATTCTGAAAACATTTATTCCCCTTCGTTAAACTTCTGGCAAGTTGGAACATCCTTAATCTTAAAAAAACAATGTCACGTCCGTCCAATGTTAAAAATAAAATGGTCCCTCCAACTGAGCATGCAGTACAGAACCAGCATAAGGAAAGTTTAGCGTCAACTAAAAAATCTGACAACTTACGTGTTCAACACTTGTAGCAACGGCAAGGAATTGTTCTTCATCGCCCAAAAATTTCATATCGGCAATTTCTTCGTTGTATCCAACAAGCCTTTTGCTTAGCATTAACTTCAAACAACCTTCAGTATGTTCTGTCAGGGAATAATAAAGAAACTGCTGGTCAGCAGTGACACAGAGCAACCCCTGATCTGAAGGCAACATCACAACTGCAGTGAAGCCTCTTTTCAAGTCTTCCTCATCTGAGCTGACAGTAACATCCGAGGACTTCTGCTCAAAAAGGCACACTGCACTGCTTCAAAATAAAAAATGAACAAATTAAAAACATCCATTCCATTCTAATAACACCAAAGTTAAGATATGGAAGACAAAGATCTATGAGAGAGCTCCAAATAATATGAGAAATATTTCCCAGTAGTACCCATCAGAACTCCATATGCGTACAAGCCCACGTTCACCAACAGTGACAAAATAAATTGCTGCTGAATCAGCCCTTTTCTTCCCATGTTGCTGGATACATGAAGCCAGGCATGACGCGTAAGGAGATCCAGAATCAATTACACACACGCCTTCAAGCGTCTCATATGTTGGTACAGTGATCTTGGAGCCATATTCACGAAGGTTCCACAAGTTTACAAGCTGAAATGAAAAATATTACATCAGTTACCAACAGGCAACCAAGGCTTATGGATGAGACAATGCTAACAGACAAATCAAACAATTAACATAAATTATATATGCTTGTGTAACAAGCTCAAGACCGATCTTAATAAGGTGAAAAAATCACAGGAATCATAATCGAAATAGGCATGAACTTGGATGTGTACATAGATGGCAAGGATATGTACAATTTTTGAGAACATACTCGTTTTATGTTGCTTGAATGATGAGAAAAAAGGTATACATATGGGACATAAACACAGTTTGAGCACACCTATTATGAGACTAATAGAATTTCACTACTAAATCACTTGTTTAAGTTTCAGAATACTTTTAACCAGAGTAAATTTTCGGATTTTCCAAAATTCGGCAGATCTGAGTAGCTTTAGTGGCAGAGGCATAATTCCAGGATACAACAAACATAGTGCGCCTAAAGTTACTAATCACAAAAAGCATACAGTCGGTAGCAAAAGACAGCCATGTCAATAAGCAATATCATAAAAGAGTTGAGCTATGCCTTATCTCTTCCAGCACTAAGCAAGGTCCATCCGTCTTCAGAAACTTCCAATGAAGTCACTGTTGATCGATGCTCTAGTGTTGCCACACACTTCTTGCTTGTAAGGTCCCAAACTCGAACAGTGGAATCATCACTTCCAGAAAAAAGCTGTAAACCCCAGAAAAGTGATCAGCAAAAATTCAGTTTAAAAGAAGGAAAATAACACTAAGCATGTGATGTGCTTAGTCTCTTTTTCCTTTACATAGTTGTTCCGAAGCCCAAATGGAGGGTGGGAGTGTCTTAGGGAGCCCAACAGTCAGCCCACATACTTTGTTGGACCCTTTGAACATGTATTAAAGTACCATGAACTGAAGAAAATGATCTGTAGGATGGAAAAAGTTTAACTAGAAAGAGATCATTGTTGAGACAAATCTACTAATTGATACACATTCATGGAAAATTCAAGGTAACCATTGGCAAATATGGAAACTACCAACCCTCTTTATGGAGAAAATATTGAATATAACATTGACACCACATCATCAATGACACCTGGTGGTGTCACCAACCAGTGATAATAATTACCTATAACCACCTTATTTAATAATTGTCATGATAGAATAGTTAGGTTTACTAATCTTATTTGTTGTTTTATAATTGATACCACGTGGCATTGATGACATCGTGTCACCGTTACACCCAATATTTACTCCTCTTTATGATACCTCACATAGCTATATAAAACTAAAGCAATACACTATTTGATCACGATACAGTCACAATGAACTTCAGAAACAACTTACTGCATCAATTTCTTGTAAGCATTTTATAAGAATAAATTAAAAAAAGCAAGGATTGAGACACTAAAGTCTCATAAGTTTTGCAGTGAAGAATTGCAAAGTACATTAGTGCATCCAGAAAAACTTTTCCAAACATCATGCTTCAGTACAAGCATATATGGAAGTGTGAAATATGTGTGTGCAAAGCTTCCACGTGCATTTAGGTACAATCTGCTACTATTAGCAGATCACTGGGAGGGGCAACAAACGACATTTGCTAGGTCTAGTGGGTCGTTGATAGGATTGACTAGAACAATTCAAAAATTCAATATCCATACAACTCAATAGAATTCATAAGAATCCAAGATCCAATTGACAACCTTAAGATGAAGTCATTGGCCAACCCATCAATTGAATGGTAATAAAAAAATGCAATGCCACCATGTCAGGGATAAAAAAAAGAAGCAAAAAAGGCGGAACCATTGACTGGGGAGAATTGACCAGGATCAGTCAGACTTGTGCTCCCCATCTTCCATACTGAACACATGATTTTGTCAAAACTGGGTACTATGTCTCCTGTTAATACATCATGCATCCTACAAGCTGGCTTTAGCTATAAAGGAACTGCGTGTTTACCTGCAAATCCACCAACTCAGTACTTCATCCACCTACCAGTTTTTTTCCATTAGCAAGATTTGCAGTAACTTTTGCAAATTCAAAAACCTCTAAAGAAAATATCCTTGTCGGCAAATTCCAAGTCTGAAGACAAACATTTATGGAAGCAGAAATGTGTGTGCAGTATCACTCCAAGCTACCTACGCACAAATGTGCACACAACTGTGTGTGGACTATGCAATTATGTCACAAATGCTTCTAATGGGTCAAGCCAAATCTACAACAAAGTAAAGGGTGAGATTATAACTCAATTACACAAAAATGGGTTATCTGGAAAGATCCAATAATTTAAAACCGATTCTAATTTTTTTGAGGACCACATTTAATTGTAACAAGTTGTGATTTTGGGTACCTTATTCTTACCCTAACAAGTTACATTATACTCCACCAGTTTATAATGCAGAATACAAAGAAACAATCTACAACTGAACCATATACCATCCAAACAATAACAACCCTCTTAAAAAAAAAAACAGATGTAAACACTTTTCTCGTTACTCAAAACTCACTATTAGTCGATTCGGGTCAGGATGGAACATAATACAAGTCACAACCCCTTTGTGACCTTTGAAGTAATGCGTGCAGAATCCACCATCAACGTCCCACACAAGTACTTTCCTATCAGCCCCTGCCGTTGCCAGCAATCCACCAGAAGTGTCACAAGCCAGGCCCATTACAGGACCTTCATGTCCCTAAGCAAATACCAATCGCAGAAAAATTTTCAAACATAGTGAATATATTAGTTTTCTCTCAAACAAGTGATCAAATAATAGTTTGGTCTTTTCGTTGCAAGTACCTTCCAAGAACGTAGACATTTCAGTGTAGAGAGCTCCCAAACCCTAATTTGCCGACTGTGGCTGGAAGAGAATAGAAAGTTATTGTTCGGACTAAGAGCGAGGGCTGTGACGGATTCCGAGTCACCTTCAATTGTCGATTTTATGGAAGCGTTGGAAGAATCGACAATCTTAATTGTGTCACCGCAGGCGCAGATGATAAATGACCCGTCAAATGAGACGGCAAAGGGTCCACCGCTGTAAAATTGTTGCAAGGACTGAAGGCAACGGTAGTTCTTCTTCAACGCTACAGACGCCATTCTCTCTCTCTACTCAGAAAATGGGTTGGAAGATAGAAATCTAATCTTAGAAGTTTCAGAGATCAGGGTTAAACCTACGAATATATACAGCTTTCTTCCCGGTACGGGGAGGTTCTTCTCCGTTGAAACTTGAAAGAGAAGAAAGATTTAGGGTTTAGGGTTTTAATTTTGGTGGCGTTGGTCTGAACCCTGGTAGTGCCATGAACGACCCGGTTTTTTTGATACAACTTTAAGAACAAATTACACTCAGTCCCCCATAGTTTACTTAAATATTAGACACATCTCTCTTAATTTCTGAAATTACTCTCCTAGTGGATTTTAGTAACTGTATATCTCAAATTTGACATCATCATCATAGAGTTAATTTTGTAAAATGGTGTAGCATTATTTTAACAAACAAATGTCTTTTTTAGGGATTGAAGGACACTAAAATGCATAGAGTGGGCACATTAAATACAAGTAAAACCAATTTTTAAGTGTGATTCAGCAGTTGGGACTGACTTTTGATAACCGGAGGCTTTACGTTTAATTCTTTCTCACACCTTCTAAGAGTTAGTCATCCTTTGTCCAAGAACATGTTTTGACCCGATTTAAATCACGGTAGTCAGTCGCTAATCAAGAGAATAATCGATATAAAAATAAATACATTGTAACAAAAAAAAAACACAAGCAAAACCAGTATTTTGCTGGAAGTTTGGTACTAAAAGGCATGAGGTAGCAAGAAATCCATTTTCCAGAAGAATTTACTTATAATTCTTGAAGTGGCATTCGGCGCTGTAGTCTGTGGTTATAATCACCCAACTCATTGTTCTTCTCTTTTTCCCATGTAATTTTGCTCAATACATTGTGCCGACACATCACATCTTTCATTAATTCTGCACTCATGCATGTCTATGCCATGACATTTACCCTAAGGTGGTCGAAATCTCAACATATTTGGCAAAGGTTGGTGGATTAGTTGTTATTTTAAAGTCAATAGTACTATACCAACTAAGTTAAGATGAAATCCATTCTTGGATATATTTTGCTTCTAGCTTAATATTGCTTGTGATTAATTATATATAGAACTCTACTTAGATATTTTTTTAAAAAGAAAATCTACGCTTCACTCCTTTTTTTGACAAAGCAAAAACAAAAATAGGCTACATTATTTGAATTTATTGAACTTAATAAATAAGAAAGTCGCATAGTGTCAACTGCTAGATCTACCACGGTTATTTAATCTCAACATTGGGTCTTTATCTCATTCCTTATTCCTATTTTCGGTCTTGACTCATTCTCTATTCCTATTTGAATTTTTGAGTTAAAGTGGTACGTAAGCTTCTAAGATCATCATCCCATGTGATTTAAGTGATATATATGGGTTGCATCCGTAGAAAAGATTAAAGTTTTTAAAAAGACATGTGATTAGGAGTTTCGAGTTTAAATTGCTCCCTCTTAAGTGATTTAGTATCTCATCTCGATGAGGGAATTTGAGTGCTTTGAATCCCTCTCTACACACTCAAAAAAGGAAGAAAATGAGTTAAAAAAAACCTTTTTAAAGTGCATAAAATTTATCTAGAAGCACTGCCATACACATTCGTAAGTTTTTTGTAAGTGGCTTTCATCTGCATCAATGGTTCTATCAGAACGAAATAGTCTCACCTAATGAGTAACAAACAACCTTGACTTTGTTTAGAAAAACAGATAAAAAGCTAAGCAAAACCATTATTTAATGTTCACTTGTTTTCAACACTCAAGTTTTTTGGAAGTTGGGAAGACAAAGCCCAAACAAACTGAAGATGGCTCTGGGCCTTTTCTCCTTGGTTTTGTTTCTGTCCACGTTAGACTTATTTGACATTGCTTTGTCAAAAGGATGGGTCCTTTTCATCTCTTCCGTGTCTCAAAGCAGCAACAACTAATTTGTTTTTAAGTCATCTGCTCTCTCTCTCTCTCTCTCTCTCTCTCTCTCTCTCTCTCTCTCTACTTTGACGAAGGCACAGCAAATTGATCTGTTGTCCTCAGTGCAGAAAGATGTGTGGGGTTTCCTCCATTGGCCTTTCACAATTGCATGTGGTTTCATTATTTTTAGGGTTGTCAACGAATATAGGGCAGCCAATTAATCAGGTCTAACACTAAAGCTATATGAGTTGTACATTTTCACATTATATCAACATTATCAGACAAGAATGGAGGAAGTGACACAAATTAAGAAGAAAAAAACAACTAATTAGAACTATATCTTAACATTTCATCAAAATGTTGTGTACAATAATGACGCCAGTGATAGCTCTCCACATCTTATATACACACAATCAACTCGATCACAAATGAAAAATCATTCTTTCGCGCAAGTAATCTCTTGACATGAGTACTGAAAGCTGTTTTTATGGCGAGACAGGCCATGGAGAAGAAGATGCCTGGCTGCATTAAAGAAGCAAAACATATGAAGTCAATGGAATTATAAACATGAAAATTTTAAATCAAAATCTAGGCAAGAGGATTCTATACTTACTCTATAATCTCTCTCCAGTATGACTCGCATGCTTCGCCATCCAAAATATCTCTCCAGGCTTCCACGGTGGTTGAAGTAGATGAACTACTGTTGATTTCAGTTGGCATGATTTCGTATTCCCTCAAACTGTTACTAGGTCGCTCAGGTGAGGCTGAGACCAATGCAGGAACCGAGTTTTCACTTGGAATTGCATACGAAGTACTGAATCGATTGTTACCACTGATTTCTTGGTAGTTATTGTTATCAATATCGTTGTTATTTCCAGTAAAAATTTTGGAGTTTGCCATAGGATGATACTCATCAAAATTAGTATGCTGAGGGACTACCACGCTTGAAAAATTGGGAGTGATATGGGCAGGGTTGGGAGCCAAAGCAATGGGGTTGTTACCTAGTACACCTTCAAACTGATCAGGATTCAGGTTATAAAAGGCATGGTCAGGAAGTCGTGCCGAACCTAAGAAGTTAGGAGCCTCCATGGTTGGAGGCAGACCGCTGCTCAAGACTTGGAGGATATTATGCAATAATTGGATTTTGGCTAATTGTGTGGCATCTGACTGCAACGTGAGAGCATTGTCCCAAGGATTCACTGGGTTGCCCCAGTTAGCACTCGCAAGCAGGTGAGGTAAATTTGCAAGGACATCAAGATCGGTTCTTGGCCTGTGGGTGACGGGGTCAATTCCCATTTGAAGAAGTTTTTTTCTGATGTGGGTGTTCCAAAAGTTCTTGATTTCGTTATCAGTCCGTCCTGGAAGACGGGTTGCTATTGCAGACCACCTGCCGGAAAGATCGATGAAATGTTCAATTGAAAACTTTTTTTCACGATCATTACTTCTCTGATGAGGTATATAAGAAATTTCTTACACAAATGACATTGATATACGTAGTCATTTTTTTACAAGAATGTATGTATTATGTAAATCTAAAGTAAAGCTGAGAGAGTGTAAATTCAGCAGGTCATGGCCTGGTTAAGCAAAAAGAAAATACAAAGAGATGATGAAGTTGGGAAAGATTACTTATTTCCGAGTACTTCATGGAGGTTGATGATAAGTCGTTCTTCTTCTTCGGTGAACTTTCCTCTCTTGATATCGGGCCTCAGATAATTAGTCCACCTTAAGCGGCAACTCTTGCCACACCTGTTAAGTCCTGCAAGCTTTGGAAGTGCCCTCCAACTTCCATGACCATGTCTATGGATGTAATCCATAAGCTTTTGATCTTCTTCAGGAGTCCATGGTCCCTTTTTCAGATTATCCTCGTCGCAGCATGGTGATCTTCCCATCATCCCTGTAGAAATTTGATAAAGGTCGTTAGTGATCGTGAAAAGAACTTTTATATTATGTAAACTTGCAATCTTGCTGATCAGGGAGCAATTCATTTTGATTGCATAAAATTTTGCATAACAGACCAATTAACGGAAAGAAAGGACTTCAAAGCTTGGGCTAGTTAGTGTGTGGGGTGAGATTTATAATAGGATGAATATGTTGATATATCTATTAGCTAGGTGTTGCTGCTTTTATAGTATGTGGATGTTGAAATAACAGTTGATGAGAAGCGCATTGCAATAGATGAGAAGCACTTCCCAATATGCGATTTCATTTTGTTTATTTTAATCTAGTTGTTTTTATTTCTTTTGTGTGGGGGATCTGACTTCCTCTTGTTCAACAAGGTAGATAGATAGGGATAGGGGATAGGGGATAGGGGTACGTATTGTAATTGTTGCCACCTTTCTGTATATATATATATATATATATATATTGAGTAGGAGGGGACACATCAGCAACGAATTTGCATAAATCTTAAGAGGAGATTAGCTAGGTTTCAAATTTGCTGAGTTTTCTTTTCTTAGACCACATTAAGAAGAAACCTACACATATGCATGCATGGTACATCTTATTTTTTTGACCATGGTACTTAGCATATCAACACACGCAAAACTATTCAGTCTTTAGGCCGGACCTACCAAACCAAAATTCACCTTCCATGTTCTAACGACTAATTTTAATACTATTATTACTAGATCACATTTCTATACTAGCTTTTGGTATATTTGTAACTACATTTTAACCAACCATAAAGTGGCAATTATTATTTATTAAGTGTGGGTCAAAGGATGTACACCTATTTTGGTTTAAAAACAACAGCAACTGGAATAATTCAGATAAATAAGCTTATTAACTTATTTAAAACCAACCCTAATGTCGAAATTTTCCTAAAAATTGTTAAACTTATTTGGGTCTCCGACCATCACACACATCAATAAGCTCAAAAGAAAAGCATCATGCTACGAACAATTCTGTTATTCCCCCTCTGTAAAGTTATGTGTTTGATCAGATTTCGTATCGCATACTCTTGCCGGCTTCAAGTGTTACAAATTCAGCCACGCATGCATACATACTGTAATCCAAATCATCATCAACAACTTGAGATCTCCTTTTATTTCTTTTGAAATATACACAATGCTAAAAATATGCATCAATTTTAGAGAGCTTGTCTCCAACTGCTCCCTAAGTGTCGCAATTGCACAGTTCATCTCCCTCACACCAAACAACCATTTTTTTTATAATTTAATTTGATTGCTTTGTTTCCTTTTCCTCTACTTTGTTATCTCAATGTCTAAAGCGCAAGCACCAATCTTTAATTAATTGGTCTCCAAGCCCCCCCCCCCCACATTACAATAAAACACCTCAGTGCTTTCACAATCCATTCACCACCCATACATTTTATACTTCTGTCTCTGGGTGTGTGTAAGAGAGAGAGAGAAAGAGAGAGGGTTTGATTTGAAATACCCTGGTCTCTGTAACTGCAACTGGCAGGACGTCGTCAGCACTATCTTTGTTTTTCTGCATGGGCTCTAATTCAACTTTAATTCACACACATGATCACAAATCACAATTCATGCTTAATTTTTTTTTTTTTTAAAAAAAAAGAGAGGCTAGATTCCTGATTCGCCATGCAAAGAGCATAGGAGTAAACACCATGTTCCCATTTCCGGCATTTCAGTCCCACATCCAATGCAAACTAGGACAAACTAAATCTCAGCAAATGATTGTTTAATGACAAGCTTTGGATAATATACGATACAATGATAATAGCGTGTGAGGAATCACAACTATGCATGGGTAAGCAGCCAAATAATAAATAAAACAAGCAGGTACAGAAATTGGATCGAATTGACAGTCAAGGGGAGATAATAATTTAAATTTTTGCATGGACGACATCAACCAGAATCCCTTATAGGTAGTCATCGTATCAACTTGCTTGTCAAACTTTTCTTGTGGTCACCTCAACACCTTTGTATTTTGCCAATTTATCTGCATATGTCATCAGAAGTGTCCTCGAGTTACGTTGTAGTTTCGTTTTCTAAATTTTGCTAAAGAAATTTGAAAGTTTGATTGATAACTACGGATCAAAATTGAAAAGCTTTAACTCGATCAATGGTGATATATATAGTTATTTTCTGGACATGTAAGCTTGATGCTCAAACTCTGATTGCATCTCGGGTACTCGCCTCGTGGACATGTAACTTGCTATTGTGACATACATTACAGTGCTCAAATTCTTGACCCTTCTACCTGGTCTTCCTCCTCTGGCCTGCTAGGTGGCATCCGAAAACGAAAGAACAACTGACTAAAGATCACACGTTTTTTTATTTTTTGGGGGGGGGCTATTTAGCCTTAAGGTCTTTCCTAATTCCTACCATTGAAGAGCACAGCACAAGTGACATCATTCCTTCATTAGTCAATATGGGAGTTAAAGATAAAGTAGAGTTTGCCGGGGAGTTTCTCACCTTTTTCATTTTTTTTTTGTTTTGGAAAATTACATTCATACTCCATAGGTTTGTTAGTTAATCACTTAAACTCCTTGATATTTAAAATATTACTTACAAACCTCAATGAGGTTTGTATGCTTACCCCTTATCCCTGTCCATTAGTTAAATTACATTTAGACTTTTTGAAGTATATAGGTGTATAATATTTAGACCCCTTAAGTTTAAAATATTATACTTAGACAAAAAATATTTCAATTAAAAATAGAATATCAAATATTTTAAATTTTACAATCAAAAACCATGTTCTATTATGTCATTTATTAAAATCAAAATAAAAATAAAAATCTAATTTATTCTTAAAAAAATTATAATTAGTATTGTTGATGTCAAAATTTGGACGATCTCCACATCATTTTATTGGGCTTTGATCACCTAAGAATGAAGTTAGAGACCGAAAAGGTGCTTCGGAAGTTGACTCTTCGATACCTAAGTCAGTAAAAGACTCAAATGTATGAATTGCGTATAGTAATCAATATAAATATATTAAAGTACTCAATTCAACATTCATTTATATACAATTATATTGTCTATTGGAATAAAACTAAAAAACTAAACAATTGAGCAAATTATAATAGACACAATATATTACATATTTAATTGGAGTAATTTGATCATTTAATAAATTCTATTAGTTCTGCAATTAATAAGGGGTCTAAATATAACATTTTAAACTTGAAGAACTTAAGTGTTGCACATTTACAAACTTTAGGGGGTGTAAGTATAATTTATTAACAGATATATTAATGGAAATTGATGGTAGAGGCTTAAGGGTTACGCGCGTACAAACCTCAAGGGGTTTGTGTATAATATTTTAAATATTAAAGTGTTTAAGTGATTAAATAATAAACTTTGAGGGGTGTGAATATAATTTTTTCTTTTTCTTTTTGTTTTTTATGGATAGAGTCAAAGCAAAGCAAGCTTTAGAACTGGGCTGGGCCAGTTCAGCCTTAAATAAAGACAAGTCTTTGTCAAATTGGGGTGAATTGGGCTCGAATGAATACCCAAGTTCTATTCAACTCCAAGGTTAGGCCGACTGAATTGGACGGGAACGGCCCAAAATTTACGAGCCAAGCGACAACTGCAAACGAAAAAAGAGTATTTTGGGGGGTCATGGCCCCTCATCTTTTTGAAAAATACTTTTTAACCCCTTAAATTTTTTTTAAAAAAATTATGATTTCCATTACATTTTTAAAAAACTATGTGGGATATTTCTCCAATTATATTCAAAAAAATATTAAAGATTTGACCTGTAATAACAAAATGAGGATATGATCACATAGATGAGCGTTCCTTTTACAAATAAAAATAATTGTTTTGATGGCCAACAAAAAAAAAATTAGTAAATCGTTGTAAAAATGAGTTAGAAATGTAGCTTATATCTAATAGTGGAGTAAATATTGAATACAACGGTGATACCATGTCACCATTGATGAAATGATATAACCAACCAATAATAAAATCTCAAATGAAAAATGTGAACCTCACTTGGACTTACTTGGAAAAAGGGTGAGAGTTATTTGCTTATATGACAAGTTAGTTATTGATTTTTATGGGGTCCATCTGCTTGTTTGTTTTAGTATTATTGATTGGTAATATCACGTCACTTTGTCACGTGGTATCATCTTTGTAATGAATAATTTCTCATAATAGTGGTGCTAGATTGACCGAAAAAATAGGATCAAATTTAATAATAGATTAATGTGGTGCTAAAATGGCGGTACCAAAAAAATAAAAGTTATTAGCCAAAATTTAAACCAAACTTCAAAAGTAGTGTATAAACATTGATCTTGATACATTCTTTACATTGTACGTTTGGCTAACTTGTTAAATAGAATAGTTGCATAAAACTATTAATTATGACATATTTGACATCGTCAAGATAAAATCCTAATTTCGTCCCTGTTCCAACTTGAAAGGATGTAAAGGTAAAAACCAAGGTTGAAAACGAAAGATTGGAACAACTTTCACAGAATAGGAATAACACTGATGCAACGGTGCCTGCCTGCTAGCATAGTGTTAACAGTAAAGCTAATATTGCCGGCCGGGAGGTAATTGCACTCTTATGTATTTGTCCATAAAACATTGTCATTTTATGGTCATAGCCGAATGCCAAATACATAGCACAGGTAATTCGGAACTGCATGTGAACAACTTTACAGACATTTCTTCTTCTAAAAAAACATCATGCAACTCTTTAGTTCTACTTTACTTTGATCCATTACAATGAATCATAAAACTCTAGCTAGCTAGCTAGTGATCAAAAAGACGTGTAATTTTTTTTTTATTTGAATGAAAATTAGTAATTGACATTTAAAATATAAATTTCACAAAAAAAAATTGTTATAATTGTAACAAACAATCAAAAACACCACCCCACACCCCCATCCCCACGAGAAAAAAAATGAGTTGGGTCAACGAGTGCAAGTTGGTGTTCACATAAGAGATGCCTTGTGGTTGGAGGAAGTCAAATCTGTTGGTTTTTTTTTTTTCTGTTGGAAAAAAAAGGTGAGGAGAAAGGAGAGCGTTCAAAGACCATTGCGATAAGCCCTCGCGTAGAGATCATAAGGCATTTGATCACATCCATTACTTTTCTCAAAATAAATCTAATTAAGTTAATATAACAGTCGATCACAGAATTTTAATGTAAACTTTAAAACAATAAAACTTTCAATCTCAAAATAAGAAATTCGGTCCCACCCCACCGGTGGTTGTTGATTTGAGGTTATGTGAAAACATCGAAGCATCCCACACTGTCGACTGAAGGAATCTCGTAGCCAAAAAAAAAACAAAAATCATTTGTGAAATTGAGGTCAGCCGTCTGCCTGCCTCATTGTCCTAGGAGGAATCTTCCAGATCATCTTTCCAATTATACTATTGGCTTGTGGGTCCTGTCCTCATTTTGTTGGGTGGTTCAAGTCCTTGTGCGTGGATGTATATATATAAATGCTACATATACCATGGGTGGTCTAAACTCTCATCAGTTCTCCACCACCCCCTAGATCAGCTGTAGTTTGAGGAAGAAAAGAAGATGTTGGGAACAATTTCGGAAGAAATGGTAATAGATGTGTCAGCCAGCAAAGCGTGGGAGGTCTATGGCACGCTTCAACTGGCAAAGATCGTTGAAGAAGAGCTCAGTAATGTCCTTGACAAAATTGAGGTCATAGAAGGCGATGGAGGAGCTGGGACAGTTCTCAAACTCATATTTCCACCAGGTAGGTATATATTTGTGTGTCTTCATTACAACACAACACTTGTTTGTTTTATTTGCTGTCTTACTCTGATATCGTCTTCTTGTTTTGCTTGCTAATCATCAGTCATCACTAATGGGGGGTGGGTGTGGGTCTTATAGTATCAATCTTAGTGCCCAGAATAATTCTTGCCATGGCTTTCGCATCTTTGCCTTTGACAATGAAAAAACTATTGTCCTTGTCCAATATCGAGACATCCTCTAGTCAATCTCCAAATCCTTTTTGCCCCATTTTAAACATTTGAAAATGGATTGATTCTTACAAGTATTTTGTTTTGGAGTGAATCAGGCACACCAGGGTTAACCAGCTACAAGGAGAAATTTACCAAGGTGGACGATGAGAAGAGAGTGAAAGAAGCAGAGGTTATTGAAGGAGGATACCTTGATCTGGGGTTTACACTGTATCGAGTTCGATTTGAAATAATAGAGAAGGGTGAGAATTCATGCGTCACCAAATCCACAATTGAATATGAGATTAAGGAAGAAGCTTCTGCCAATGCTGCATTTGTCACCATTCAGCCACTTGTCGCCGTTATGAAAGCAGCAGCCGATTATCTGATTAAAAACAATAAGTAAATCCTCTTTTGTGGTTGTAATAATCTGTTGACTCTGCTTGTAGCTTTCTTTTCTACAGATCATTTCCTCGGGTGCTTGTGCTAGTGGTTGTGGTTGTCATAATCGAAAGTGTTGTTTACATGTGTCTTCATGACTTGCAAACATTAAGATGAGTTATGATTGAATCTAGTTTCTTAATTCTGTTGATCAAAAATTAGGACCACATATGTCATTCTCTTTCTCTCTCTCTCAGTGAGAGGGGAGAGAGAGAGCGAGAGACTATATGCAAAATGTGTGGTGAATGTATTTGGAAAGTAGTGTTTGATTTGATTAGTTAGCATGGGGGACACTACTATACCCAACTTACTTTTTGGTACTATACCGAAAAGTAAGTTGACCTATTTATGTTACACGTGTCTCTTTCAAACCAATTTCACTTGTAAGAACCCAATTAGCATATACCATGTCAATGCTAGATATGTTATTGCACTTTTTTGGTCTTATTATTGATTAGCCTAGGATTACCCAACCGTTAAATCCTAATCCAAAAAGATATTGATCTCTCTTTTATAACGATTGTGTTGTTTTGTTCATCTATTTAGAAACGTGACTGAAAGTATTGTAATATCAAAGAAAGACAATGTTTGGAACATAGTCCCATGAGCAGCAAGTTAATGTGCCAGCAGCCGAAGCATGGGAACTCTGTAGCACTCTTCGATTGGCAAGCTCATTGAGAAAGAGCTTCCCCATGTTGAAAAGATTAAGTTACTACAAGGCGATGGAGGGGCTGGCACTATTGTTAAAGTCATTTATTCACCAAGTTGGTATCTACTCTTATATGCCTTAGGTCCAATCTCTCTCTCTCTCTTTCTCATCATTAATCTTCTGATAAAATGGATAATTCAATGATTTTTACTACTTGGAACTATGGATATTTAGAAGAAGTTACATGGAAACTTCAATGCATGGAAAATTTCTCAAAAATTGTGGTCGCATAATTACAGTATGACAACCAGTACAATGTAGCGTATTGAGATGTAAAAAAGTATGTGCCATATAGTTAGTCTTTCACAAGCCCTATATTGAGTTCTTCGTTTGAAACAACAATCACATAAGGGTCCAGCATGATGAATTTTTAGGGTTCCATACTGCAGGCAACAAGAATCTTGCATTGTTCAACCCATGTGCATTGAAGCCCCCACCACTGCGGGGGTCGACTCGAACCTTTCCAGTGTATCCTGGGAAAGCCCCTGTCCCGAACACCCCCTTACAGGCTGTTGTCGCCTCCAATGGTTTATCTGAGAGACCCCCGAAAAATCCGGTTTCGTAAGGGTTTGTTATGGTTGCGGCCAATGCTGATGCAAAGTGAACAATCATAGAATCTGTACCCTCATCCCCACTTGGTGGATCCAATGTTAAACCTAGTGCCCCATTTTCTGACCTATGGAATGGCCATGCACACGTTGATGGACACTCATTTTCTGGGTTCCCAACCACTATGTAAACCTGCTTCCCTGCAAATTTTTCCCCATTGAAACAAGTTAACAACAATGAGATGTGATTGGTTTACTTTGACGACTATGGTCTATGAAACTGAACGTTTTTCTATTTGAGATGATCTTTTGATTACCAATAGCGCCATGGAGGAAGCACCATTCCGAGCATGAATCTTTGACAGTCACGTCGTTGGCTGCAAAAATAACGGCAACAGTATTAGGGGTTCTGCCACTGGCTTTTTGCACTAGACCTGCAAGAGAGTCGTCATTCAAAACCTTTCCAATGGAGTATTTGTCATCATCAATTTCCTTCACCGCCTTCACCGTAATCTTTGGGCTCTTCTTCAAGCTTTTGTTGGCCACCGTTTGGTAGCTTTCGACAATATTCCACCATGAGGACACTCGTGGCTCGAAGCTCACATTATGATCATTGTTGAGAGATTGAATGAAGGTTTTGATGGCAGACTTTTGAATAGGATTGATTTGGCCATACCAAAGTACGGACAGGTTGACGTCTCCGGTGAGAAGAGGACCTTTATGGTAGGTTGTCAAGAGAGATTTCTTAGCTGAGCATAACGGAAGAAGGTGCACAAAAAGGAAAAGAAAGAATGAGAGAACAAGAAGACTCTTGGGGAGGGAAGACTCCATTGTCTATCTTATTTCTGTCTGTTCCTTTTTGCATTGGCCACCATTATATGTCGCAGTTTGCGTCCATAAAATAGACCATGTTATAAGCCAGGCCACAAATGAGCTATTTTTGTTCTTAATCCTTAAGACAGAATAGGCAAGATGTTTATAGATTCTATTTCTAAGAATTATGAACCAGTCAAAAGGATTTAGACACGAGGTGTAAGAAGTCATGTTTGGCAGCAAATGACCTGAGCAACATGTATGAACATATCCCTAACTTAGTAGCAACTAATAATAGAATCACAAAACGCCTTACCCCACCCCACTAAGGACAGCCCAACACAAATTGGATCTATAGCGAGAATTTCAAATGTAATTTTATTTAATATTTTAAAAAGATAATATTTTTTTTAATGATTATTAATGATTTTGGACAACAGTAGACATCTTTTACCAAGTTCGTTGACAGAAAGAGGTAAATTGTGTGATCTAGGGCGGGACAGTCAAATTTCATTTTGTTCGTGTTCTGTTTTGACTCTGTTTTTTGATCTATATATGGTCGTGTCTAACTAGCTAGTTTGGGATTGAATAGGATCAAACAATAAATTGAGTACAATTGTAAAATTAGGATCTTACATAAATTGAATAAAATCTTAAAGAAACAACAAGAGAATTAGAGATAAGGATAAAGAACTACAGTAAGACAAAGAGAATGAAATGGAAACAAAGAGTTGAAGAGAGGCAACGAGAGTTGAGGAAAAAATAGTGAAGAGAATTTGAAAAAGATTGTTACATTTAAAACTAAAAGTTGTTATTTTTAAATTTTTTTTAAAAGACTTTGTTTTATTTTAAAATTTTCTATTAAACTTTACATAAACTTGTGAAAATATTCTTACATTTTAAGGCTTTCTATAAAACTTTAGATAAACTTATAATATATATTGGATCTTTAAATTAGTCTATTAAAAAAGGGCATTAGTACATAAAACTGAATTAAGGGGTAAAAATCAAATTGGGGTCTTAAATTTATTGGGCTCTGAGCCACTATTTTAATGGTCCAATTTAGGGCTCCTATGCAACTATTTTAGTGTTTGGGCCTTAAAGTCGGCCCTACTGTGTCTGCTCTCATTTAAAAGATTGAAGTGGTTGTCCATCTCACAACGATCGTAGTCTTTTCTCGTCCCTCACTGTCAAATTTTTGTCCATTGAACTGATTAAGTGAGATAAATTTATTATTGAATGGCACGCAAGAATTAAAGTTAATATATGTATTATTCTATATTTTATGCATTTTTTTAATTGGTCAAAAACAATATGTGGACTGCTCTAAGGTATTTTCATAGTAAAGATGTTTAATATTACAACGTGATGTCATATAAATTTTCTTTTTTAATAATTTAGGCATCTAATGTATATTAAATATTACATATGTGTTATTTAATATATATTCTATCTGCGTGTAACTGTTCAATAATATAATCCATAAAAATTGTAAATATACATAGACCATCATAACTAAATACATGTTTTTAGCAAATAGATCTGTACATCTGTTTGTCTCTCTTATCTCTTACTTGACCCATAGTTTTCAAAATACAATCTATTGTTTAATTACTATTTTTATGTTCTTATTTATTTTGTATGTTCTTCATGAAAATTGAATTATTTTATTATTTTTTTAAATTTTTATATGATCCTTAACTCCTTTATGTATGCAACGTTCACTTACTATTTTGTTGTGTTTTATTTTCTCTAATAACAACTTTATTAAAAGTTTATTTTGATATTAATTGATTTTTGTTGGATCATTTATGAGAATGAACAATTTAATTAGTTGATTTTTTGAAATTCCTTATAAGAGTAAAATAGAGATTCAAAAATTTTCATGTTAATATATTTTTGTTAGTAGTATAGATATTTTAAATTTTATATTATTGACCTAATCTTTCAATGAGTTTTTTTGTTAAGCTAAATTATATTTCATTATTGAACTCTAAAATTTGAGGCCTAAAGTCTATGTTTGTTTGTTTGTTTGTTTGGCACTGCCGTTGAGCCGGCCATGCCTCCCACCCTGCCAAAAAAACACGAAGAGAGCATACCTTATGATCTTGATCCTGGAGCATGAAATTCATAGAAGCCTATGATACACAATTACACATTATCAGCACTTATACCTGGTAGGGGCAGGCATATTAGAAGGAGTGTGCGCTTTTACACGCATCCTCAAATGCACATAATAACACAATCAATAGAACTACAGCAAAGAAAGAGAAGAATAAACCTGACTGATAGGAAGTTATACTGCAACATCGAAAAGTTTCTAGATGAAAAACCTACATAGCACATACAGACAGGACATTCTGGGTGTAACAATAAGGCATTATTCCTGGGCTTGCTGCTAGTGTACAACAAGGGAAGATTAAGAAAAGAGAGAATTGGAATGAGATATAAAAGAATACATATTTAATTTATGACCTTTGATCTTATTTCTATGATATATCAACCAGGTTAATTTAAAACATCAAACAAACTGGCACCCAGTATCCTCACTTTTTAGGATTCTCTTGTTCTGTGTTGTTGGTATAAGGCAACCAGATTCTTTGCATTTGGACCACTGGGGAACCTTACTGTCTTCGTTCTTCCGTAGCCTGGCAACAACTGATTTAAATCCACTCCTCATGTAAGTCACCCCAAGTGTGACAAGCTCTCTGCACAACAAAACGCTGATCAGTTCTATTAGCTGCTGTGCTGTCATCAATTGCAACACCATATTATGTGACGTGCAATTCCTCACATTATCAGTCACATTGAACCATCACATTGCTGTTTAGCTAATTTTGTCGCGACCATGTACCCATTCGCTTAACAATGATACTTGGTCATTTTTATTACTTGTCAAAGAATAGTTGAAATATTCAGTTCAAACACATAGATAACATATTTTTCAAAAACAGAAACAGTGCCTCCTCTAGATAGCCAGACGCAGAGATTGTTAATGCAATATTTGGGACATCAGATTTGCACAGAAAATCAACAAGTATTACTATTTGTTAAGAGGAATCAATATCTAATGCTAATATTTTCCAGATATTTTACTCTACCGTAGCAATAGAAGAAGCCCCCCCCCCCCCCCCCACGACAAAAAAAAAAAAAAATGAAACTCTCTTTAACATCATATTACATCATAGGGAGTTGTCTATGGCTGGAATATCTACAAAAACATTCGAATTGAATAGCAATACTATCACAATACTTGGTTGTTGTCTCTCTTTAAGTTCTCTCAAATAATTTATGGTCCGTTTAGTTGGGTGGATGGAAAAATGGAAAGATAGAAATTAGGAGTGATACACTTTCTATCCTTCTGGAGAAAATTCATCACTTTCCTCCTTTGTGTTTGATAAGGGGGATAGAAAGTAGAAAGAATTGATTTTTTGGAGTTGGGTAAGATGGAAAAAAATATTTGTTTTTATTTTTTTAATTTTTAATTTTTAATTTTTTTATAAAAAAAATATAAATACATATTTTATCATTATATCTATATATGAAATTAATGTATACATAATAAATATGAAATATGTATATATCAAATGATATATAAACAAATAATATACGTTTCAACACAAATAATTAATTTTCCATCTATTTTTCCTCCCAATTTTGGTGAAAACTAATTCATCCTTCCTATTTTCTTTTTTTACCAAATATGATGTTTTATCTATCCCTCCAACTTTTCATCCTTCTAACTTTCTATCCTTTCATTTTTCCATCGTAACAAATAAAGCAATAGTTTCCCCTCAATTATGACCTACTAAAGTAAAAAACTCGAAATTTCAGGACTACTGGTAGTTTGGGGAAAATACTCCACAAAATCCACAGCAAGTCACACAGATAGACAGCGGGAAGGAAATTTTACTTACAATGGTGAGCAAGGAGATCGACCACCCTTTACATAGTAGATGAACAAATATGCATCGTAATGCTGCCCATTGATGAAATAAAAAGCATGCAACCTTCGCACACACTGGAAGGACATTTTCTGGTACAAATGGATGGCAGAATTGTTGTAAGAAATCACATGTAAGTAAACTGCTTGGCAATTTGGGATGTTAGAGGCATATTTGATAACCTCTTGAATTAGTGAACTGGCTGAAAATTCAACACCAGAAAATGTATCAATTAGAGAAGGAAAGAAGTGCAACATTGCGAGTCATAGGAAAAAGAAAATCTTACCTATGCCAAGATTTCTATAAGATTCTACTACTCCCAGTGTAAGAATATAAACTAGTCTTTGGTCTGATTTTGACGGATCAAATCTGAGCAAATCTTCTACCTGCAAAACCAATGTTAGTTGTATATAAGTAAGACCTACTGAAACATCAATGATTGGCTCCGATTAATAATCTACAATTAAGCAGATATTTGAATTTGAATGAGGACTTCGTTATACATAAGTAACCTAAATTGTGTGTGTATTGCAAAAGGAAGACTAAGATACCAATGTGCTTGAAAATTCATGGTTTCCACATGAAACTACAATGTTACAATCCTATGCATACTAAGTGCTCACCTCACTTTCTTTTGCAAGAACAATCCTGGCAGTGACAAATCCAATTAGTTCATCACTCTGACCATTGGGCCGACTGCGGTCAACAGCTCCCCAAGACACAACCTCACGGCCATTAACAACGTTGTGGAAGAATTCAGACTCATACCTAAGAAAATGACCATATGCTTCTTGGTGAGGGAAGAAGACTTGATCATAGTTAAAATGATGCATCAATTAGCTAAAGATTATATCAACTGACCTAATAGGAAATAAGTCACCATGAATTTTCTCAAGAACCTCTAAATCAGAGGGTCGTATAGGCCTATAGCATATGGTAGGACGGTGGGACCCTTTCAGGCCTACCATTGAAGACATCAATCCCCCACAACTATTTGATGTATTTGGAGAAGAATTATGAGAATTTCTCCTCCCATTTATGCCACATCAGCCACGAGGGCCATGCAGTGGTCACTGGAACCTGATCAAAGACGATTTCAATGAATTCCTTGTAACTGCAAACCACATGTAGCAACAGAATAACTTCAAAGCTGAAACGCACCTGGCGAAGATGATTTTAATTAATTCCTTTGTAACAGAAAACCACATGACACAACAGAAAATTTTCAAAGCTGAAATACATATAAGTTAATTTAAAAAAAAAAAACTAATAGAGGAATAGCATGACTTTACTAGTTCTAACATGCTCGACGCATTTGATGTATTCAGTAAGATGCAGTAACTTCACACAAGAAAAGATACCAAATTGGAGAAAAGTAATAATTGTTGAATGTGCCATCCCCCTTTTTACTTCCCAGCTCTGTTTTCTGGCCCACATTTTTCAAATATTTAGAGCTTGGCTTCAAACATCAAAAGTCACTTCAATACTTCAGTTGCAATACTTCACACAATACTTAATTGGCTGACAAATAAGTAGCTATCAGTAGTGCTCAAACTATGCCCAATGAGTTCCGGAGAGGACAATTCACAAGAAAAAATACTAAATAATAGCAAAGTACTCAAATCCAAGATAACAATTGATTCCAAGTTTTTTTTGGTTCTTCAATCCTCTAAGAAAGTAAACGAAACATTAGATCAGCCGATAACTTAAGAAAGCATAAGAAAGTCAAAAAGTCAACATTGAAACAGCTAAGGCGGATTTTTTTTTTTTAAAAAAAAAGGGAAGTTCACAGCGTTGTAATTATTGCCCTTGCGTAGTAGATGCAAGAGAAGAATAAGAGGCGCCCATTTCTGCGCAGCACCTCCTGTTAGTATTGGCATAAAAGGTAATACAGAACTACAGAAGTCTTTGACCAAAAAAAAAAACTACAGAAGTCATTGTGTTTATCTTTGGACTATAAGGTAATAATATTATAGAATGAATGCAATACTTCATTTAGGAACCTTCACCTTGGCTTTTTTCTTGATCCCAATAAGCACCAGTCCAAAGTTGACAGCTTTAAAAGTGATTCTTGACACAGAGCCTAAACTAAACGGATACAAACAGAAACACAATCAAAGCCAAACTAAACGGATCTCCTGGTTAAAATAGTAGTCAAGATGTGGAACATACAATGCAACAGTGCCCCCATCTAATGTGACAGGTATATACCATACATGTGAATTGGCAATCTAAAAATATAAGAGGTTTGAGCAATCTAAAAATATAAGCTTAATCATTTTGCTATCAGATTATGCAGTCAAATATGAGCGAAAACTATGAAAAAACATGAACTAGAAATTTTTCTATGATTGCATATATTTGCATCCTAGAAATGGTACATCTATTTCAGAGATCAAATTCATACAAGATCCCTTCAAGATGAGGTGTAAAGGGGTAAGCATCAAAATTGTATAATCGATTGTCAATAAGAAAGATATGATTCCATCAAAAGGCTCTTTTACACGCCAAGCTATTGATTAAATAGATGCATCGTGGTTATGATTAAAGCATTATGACCAAAAAACTACATTAGAACAGTGCTACACTGATCTTTTGCAGCAAAGGTTATGCCTTACATAATTGCAACAAGCACCATGCATTAAAAAAAACACATTAACAGCAAAACTTCTTCACACAGCTTGAACCAGAACCAATCATTATGAGAACAAAAAAACAGAAATTTCAGCTCTGGGACAGACTTTTGTAAATAAAAATTAAAAAAAATTTGAGTTTTTACCAACAAAATCTCTTGAATCGAGTGATGGGATTGAACTGACAGCTTTGAAGACTAAATTTTAAGACCAGATCATAACTTAAACTGAACATAGAAACCAAAATTGTGCTCATCACGAATTGCATATTCTCGAAGCAATGTCTTCTTTCTTTTCCTTGTAAGTTATCTAAAAGCAATGTCATTTATGTTTTGAGCCAACTGACGGCTTTGAAGCGCAAAATTTAAGACTAGAAAAACGAAAAAACATAACTTAAACTGAACATAAAAATCAAATTTGCGCCCATCACCAATTGCGCAACTCAATCAATGTCTGTTTTTTTTTTCTTGTAAGTGATCTAAAAGCAATGCCAATAATGTTCTCCGAAGACAATCCTAGGCACGGGGACAGAGGCAGTGGGGGCAGCTGCCCTCTCTGAAATTTTTGGAAGTTTTGAGGTTGTACTAAAATTTGTAATTTTGTTCAAACTTGCCCCCAGTGGAAATTTGTAAAAACTTTGGGGATGATTCTGTTTCCTTGAAACTAAATGGGACCCTTACGTAAAATACAAAATTAGACTTAAAGAGATAGGCATATCGACTCTTGAGTCTCTCTTTAATGACTTCATCCCCTCTATTTGGTCTTCCTTCTTTTTGCTCCCTCTTCGTCTCAATGTGCTACAATTTGCTACTAAAGGTGAACCAAGTTTTAATATCCCTACAAAGTGACACATCTTGTGTTCTACAATTTTCGGAGTACAAAAATTATGTTGGCATCACACCTATTCTTTATACATATCACTTTAGAGTCAAACTAAAAATAAGGCTATTGAGGAAAAAAAAATACCTTTCTGAAAAAATGTAGTTAGAGTTTTTCTTACTACCACCCATTAAGTTTTCTCCTTATTCTATATGAAATTTAAACTGAAATCTTTTGAATGCTATCTCTGCAACGTTGTGACTTGCATCGATTATTTGTATTCAATTCATTGTTTTGGTTATTTATGGTGTTTATAAATTGTTTGTTAAAGAGTTCAACTAAAAATAAATTTCTTATAACAAAATCAACATGGAACAATCGCCTGCTGCTCAAGAAAGTGATGATTGTGGTGGTGTTATACGACATTGTTGTTCTAATAAAACTCGTAATAAACTTAACTTAGAAGCTTTTCGAGCGAATCATGGGCTAAAAATTAAAACTTCAGTTTGTCATTCTATTAATTGGGATGAAATTATAAGTTCATATCTACCAAATCACAAATGTCTACCTGCCGAATGAGTTATATCTCCTAATGACATTCTTTTAATGAAATTATCTTTGTAAAAAATATTAAAAAAATTTGTTTTTTGTGAAAATAATGTAATGTTAGATTTTAATTTATTATTGAGTTTTAGTTTGCCCCCACTACAAAAATTTCCTGGCTCCGTCCCTGCCTGGGCAATTATATAATCTCAACTTCTCATCTTTTATGCCACATTCGATCACACCCATTCCCTAAAATTAACCATATTCCTTAACAATTTGACATTAACAAAATTCATGGTTTGTTGCTGAGGTTTCGTACTCATCATATGAAAGCAAAAGCACACCACCACCTTCCCAACTGCAGAGAGAGAGAGAGAGAGAGAGAGAGAGAGAGAGAGAGAGAGAGAGAGATGAAATTATGTAACAACCTAGTTTATATTATAAACAACCACAATTAACACCCTTCAGAAAATTTCATCCGAGGGTTAAAAACAAAAAAAAAAACTCTCAATAACATCAACAACCGACTGAATAACTTGAGAGAAGTAAAATTACATCTCAACGAAATGAAACTCAAATTAACAGAGTGATTGATCAAAATAAAAAATAAAAAATAAATATTAAGAGAGTGAAGTCTTTGTATAAAACCCATGCGCATGGAATATACGAATACCGTAACACTAATCTTTGACTAATAACGGCTAAAGATTTAGAAAGATTCAAATATAATTTAAATCATCGAATTCGAAGTTTTTCAGCTGAAGAAACAAAGATCCTGATTAGATCTTCATAATAAAATTGAATCAAAAGCTCTTACCTTTTTTCAGTGGCGTAATTTGGGCCAAGCTCAGTGAAACTAAGATGTAGAAAGATCAGAGGATGCACAGAAGGAGGGCGGGAGGGACGGAGAGAGAATTGAAAAGATGTGAGAAAAAGCAACCATGTCTTTTTGTCTTCCAAGATATCTTCTTGGGTTTGTCTATTTAGATAGAAAATTGAAATTAGAAAATGTCTCCCAAGTCTTTCTTTAACTATGAATCGAAGATTCCATCTTCTAATGTTTTAATTTTGGATTAATTATATATTTAACCCTTAAATTATACCATTTGTTTCAATTAAACTATTAAATTATATTTTATATCAATTCAGCCTCTAAACTATAGAATCTTCTTCCGTGCACATCACATGAATCATAGATTGGTTTGTAATTCAAGGGTCGAGGGTTTCCATCAAATTTAATAGCGAATTTTGATATAAGAGTTACATTAAATTAGATTGTATAGTTTATAGTTAAATTAATATAAAATCTAATTAATACAAATACTATAATTCAAGGACTAGACAGATAAATAACTCTTTAATTGCTTCTTAACCCCACTTATTTTAGAGTATTAAATATCGATAATTTCCATGAAAGTTTTTTGTTAATGTTTTATTATTAATATGGATAATAATTTACTTTATATGTATATATTAGTGTATTATTTATTAGTTAATATATATAATAAATATGATTTATTATGTTATTTAAACTCAAGAGATAATACATGCTCAAATCAAATTTTTATATATCCAAAAAAAAATTAGATCGTGAATTTATTAAAAAAAATAGTAATATTATTTTTAAATTACTAATGCTATTGGAACATAATTAAAGGATATAATGAGTTGTCACAAATAAAATGATAGTGAAATGTATTTAATAATGAGTTTCATTATCATATCATTAGTGACAACTCATTATCTTCTCAAATTATGTCCATAAATTATGTCCCAATAGCATTATTTTTTTTCAATAACACATTAATGTGAATTTCGTAGTCACACGCTTCGGAAGAGAAAGACAGCGTGTCCAAATTTCATTTCACACGTGAAACCCTTCCCCTTCCCCACCTAGGCATTATTTCCCAAACATACAATCTGAGTCTGGCCCCGTTCCTTTCCCTAATTTCTTCGTATATCCTACTCCCTCTCTCTCTCCATCTCAACACATCTATACATATATACACTCCCTCTGCTCTGCAGCCTCTGTTCCTCTCCAATCCAAATCTCCCTCCCGTCGTCTTCATCTCTAGTTTACTTCTTCTTCCTGGATTCCATGTCGGTTAGTGCTTCTGTATTTTTTTTTCTTGATTTCTTTCGATTATTGATTGATGCTTGAATCATATACACACTTCTGTTCGTTTTGAGTGTTGATTTAGATTAATTACGTAGCTTCTGTGAAATACTGAATTCCGACTTGGGCTTTAATGTTTAATCACAAACTAATGCTTATATGTATACCTAGATGCTATTTAGAATTGCCATCTGCCTTCTCATTGATCTGATGGGTTTTCATGTGTTTTCTCTAATCACTTCTTACTTTTTATTGGTAATTTTAACATTTTCTTAATTGTTGAGTCAATCAAGTACGTAGTACCGTTCATTTAACCATTCTTTTTCTATGATGATTTTTTGTTGCTGTTATTCTTTTCCTTTCTTGGTTATATGAAATGAAATAGTTCAACGATACGAATTGATATTTGTGAATTGTATGGGTGGGATTAGTGCAAATTATCGATATATGGAAACCTGGGCTTATCGTTTAAACTATGTTGATCTCATATACTATGTGTGCGTGCACGTTCTTTCACAATATAAACACAAGAACAGATCTCTTTCTGTGGTAAACACGAGTCCGTCGATCGAGTGGTCAATCTTGCTACTTGGAATAGGTTATGAGGGCTGAAGGTGGCCTATGAAGTGATGATGAATTGTTTTTATGGGTCGCCTGACTGGTCCTGAGAGGCTAAGAGAGGTTCCTGGAACAGAGAAAAACAGGTTAGAAGGGCGCCAAAGTGTTTTTCGGCGTATCCCCTCTGATAATCAAGTCAATTTTTTGAGAGAGAAGAAGAAGAAAACACTAAATGATCCTTGAGAAAGGGATTTTTGCGTAGCTTTTTAATGTGTTTATGAGGACTATTTATACCTTACAAAACTCATCATTGCTGATAGCGTAGCTAGTAGATAATCATTAGAGGTGGGCAGTGTGCACACTAATTTCTATGAGAAATGTTCTCATTCTTAACTGTTCGGGACCCTGAACAACTAATGCCTTCTCCTCGGTCTGTCGAGCGTTTAATGAACTTCTCTCGGCAGGGATGTATTAAATGCCTAGGTATAAGAACATTTATTACCTTTCACTTCCAAGCTCTTATGCATTAAAGGTTGTCTCATCGAGTGAAGGATGCATTAAATGTCTGACTTCCCAAGCCGTGTGTCAGCAAGGACATTCTGGTCTTTTCATCTCTGACCTGACACAATATGCCATGTGCTCATTCCCCTTTGGTTAAGCCTTCTGCTTCCTTGTGCCTCCTGACACCATTTGAGTAGCACAATATTATGATGGCTAATCTAACCGAGCCTAGGCTAGTAACCTGTCAATCAATAGCCCTTGCAGGAGCAAAAACGCCCATGTGGGCAGATACACCTCGGTGCTGAGGGACTAGCATGATTAGGGACCGATATCTCAAACTGACTAAGGATACGTGTCGGTCCATGGCATATTGGGGATCCTTGATCCCTGTGAATAGTACCCTCGGGGAAGAGGGTTATAGACCAACGAGGACGTATCGGGATCACAACAGAGAGTCTCCATTGGCACCGAGTACACGTGTCGTCATCTTGGTGTGTCTGGAAATGTCCCATCAACTGTCCCCCAGCCTTCGATCTTCTGACGCAAAGAACATGCATCGTAAGAAGACGAAGGATTCTGCAATTGCCCCAACCATCCCATCATTGCTTCCAACCGTTTTCCATCGCTTAGGAGGTCATGCGCATTAAATGCACATTTTCGTGCTTCGTGCCCAATGATGGGGACGGGCTCTATATAAACGGGCTTTCTCTCTCTTTCCCACACTTTTACCATTTCGAACTCTGAGAGACCTTTCGCCGGAAACTTCGCTGGAGAGCCCCTTGTCACATCGTCTACCCATCAGTCATCACCGGAGTTTAGACCAGCAAACCCCCTCTTGCTTCTGAACCTTCTCGAGAAAGGAATCACTTCAAGTTCTTCAGAAATCTTCATTTGCATTCTGGTGAGTCCTTGCATCCTCCTTCTTCCCATCCTTCTTCTGGGTTTTGCTTTTCATTTTCCAGTAACCAGAGGTGTTTCTGGTTGTCATTGTTTAACCAACCCTCAGGAAACCTCTTGGGGTTCTTTGTAGGAAAACTCTTTTTCCTTCCCCCCTTTTTTTTTGTTAGAGATGCCCCGACGCCGCTCTGCCACCGAGGCCCCCCAGGCTAGTTCCTCGAGACTAGGGAAATACAAAATGAAGGGAGACCAGCAGATCAATAGGTTTAGGGCCCGATATCACATCCCCCAAAACGTAGGTATAGAAGAGTACGACCCAGTTTTGCATAACCGTAATCTCGGGGCCGAGGATGAGATGCCGTTTTACACCAAAGCAATCATAGAGGGTGGAATTAGGTTCTCCCTGCCTCCTCTACTCCTCCAGTTCCTCTCCCATTTCAACCTCTTCCCAGGGCAGTGTTGCCTTAATGTCTTTAGGGTAATAATGGGGGTTCTAGAGCTTAATAACCGCCTCGAGGTAAACATTGGGCTCAACGATATTTTTTTTTGCTACTCCTTGTTGAGGGTCATGCCCCAGCAGAACTTCTACCTCAAAGCCAGGGATACATCCATGTACCTTGTAATTCACCTCCCTGATTCGGACAAATAGTACAAGGATGACTTTTTGATCTTCAGTGGATCTTGGGAGCGGGGAACCGGTCCCGAGTACTGGTCTGAGGTGCCCTCTTGAATGAGGAATGACAAGTATGTCGGCTTCTTCGAGTCCAGTTTTTTACTGTCCTTGGAATATTTTGCAAGTGTTAATAACTTTCTTTCTTGTGCAGACGTCTCCGCCCAGGAAATCGCTCCTCCTCGGTCTTTGGTAAACTTTGCCGACCTTATCACTGTTTGGGAGTTTGTCGGCGACGACAGGTTTGGCCGGGCCACTCATCTTCTTTTTAACTACACAGCAGGGTACAAGAAGTTTTCACAGCTCCCCCAACTTTTCGACCATTCACAGTGGTCCGAACTCTTTAAGCAGATAGCGCAACAAGAGGCTGAGCAGAACTTGGAGGAAGATCCTGATAGGGCTACCAAGGCGAAAGTAGAGGTCACCTTTGAAGTTGAGGAGTTCGGGGCCAGAGAAGTTTTTGTTCCTTCATACGCTGAGGTGGGGACCTTAGGGAGAGATTCGTGGCCGGACTTCAACATCCTCCAGTCCCTAGACGCCTTTGAGGTAGCCATGTCACATCCGCCCCGCATAAACTTGAGTTTCCTGAGGCAGAGGCAAGCCCTCGCCACAGGGAGAGGAAGGGGTGAAGCAGCGGTGCCCCATCAACAGGGACCAGTGCCAACCCCCACCTTCGAGGGCCGCTGGTCGGAGTTAGGTGCGTGATGGGGATCTTCAGGTTGAAGAGGAGAGAAGAACCAAGCTAAGGCACGACGGCCTTGGTAGGGGGTCCAGGCCCCCCTCTGCTCAACAACAAAGCGGGAGGGGCTGTGGGTTGCCCCTTCCACCCCAGCAACAACAACAACAACAGCAGCAACAGAGACAAACTCCACCTCCCCTGCTGCAGACGGTGGAAGTTACAGAATGGAGCCCTCAAGCTACTGATCACATGGGCCGGATGATCAGGGTCAACGATTCCATTTTGCAGGACCCCCATGTCGCCAATGCAGTGTGCGAGGCGCTCCACTTCGAGGCCGACATGGAGGCTCACAGGGGGCAGACAACGAACACGTTCCATTCCATCATTCAGAACTCTCTGGTGGTAAGTTCATCTTTGGTTTAATCTTTCCTTACTGTATCACCCACAATTGACCAAGTTCTTTCCCTCGCAAGCCACTCAACAAATATTCATAATCGCTGCGCGATACCATGCAGCCAGAATGGACCTTCAACGGACCCAAGAGCAAAAAGAAGTGGTTGAAGTAGCCTTAGCC